GCCACAGTTGGACTGGTTTGAGGCTGCAGGCAAAGGGACAGGGCCAGACGGCCAGACAGCCTACAGCCTGAGGGGAGGGCAGATTTATCATCTGGGCTAATTCTCATCTTTTGGTGTTTTTTTTTTTTTTTAGGGAAACCCCTGTTCTCTCCGTCAGTGCCATCTGCAGAGGTCATGACTGGCAACAATGAGAGTGAGATCTGACTGAAAATGAGCTGTTTCTGTACAGGAGCAGAGATGTCAGGCTCAGATGTTGCAGAGAAAATGATCCATAATGCTGCCAAGTGGAAGTGATTTAGATGGAGAGACAAGGAAACAGACAAGAAGTGATTCTGGGCAGAGGGAATCAAATATCCATTTGTACTTTTTGCTCAGAACATAACAACAGGTTTATCTGATCACATGTTGTGTACAAATTCATATTCGGGAAAATAAAAAAAAAACTATAACATGTTATCAAAATATGTTGAGATATTGATTTTGATCAGTATTACAAGTTTTTGTAATACAAATGAATAATTTAACACTGAAATGCAGCTAAAAATGCACCACATGGTTGAATCCATGTTTCAAACTCAACACTTTTGTGCAGAGTGACTTAAACAATACACGTAATACACCATAAAGGAATAAAGTTCAACGGACATCTTTCACAGCAGACGTTTTGACTTGTCAGACGCAGCTGTAACTAATAACTGATTATAAAATTGTTGCATTGAATTGCATTAATTGCTGGAACGGAGCCATCGTTAGTGTTATTAGTCCCACCTGGGCAATCAGTCAATCCACCACTGGATGGATTGCAAAGAAATTCTGTACAGACATTCATTCTGTACTTTAGTTCAGTGCTAATTAGCAAATATTATAAGCTAACATGCTAAACTAAGACAGTGAGCATCTTAGCATTGTCATGTTCGTATGCTGATGTTTACATCAAATCTCCACTGTGTCTAAATGCAACCTCACAGAGCTGCTAACGTGGCTGTAGACTCTTAGCCTTGATTTATTGTGAAGATGAAATTGTGTCTGTCAACCGTAAAATGTTGGAAACAGAAGACAAAATAATGCCTGTCATTTTTTAAATGATGTTCATTATCACTGTTTTGAGAGGGACTAATGTCCTCACTGGACCAGTTTTCAGTCCATCTCCTCTAAAATGATTAGTACACACACACACACACACACACACACACACACACAAGCACATACAACACACACGCACAGCTTTCCCATTATGTCATTTCCCTGCTGTCATCATGTTGGCAATTATCGCCTCAAATGGCACAAATAACACAGAGATGTTGTTTGTGTCAGAAGGAGGTAAAAATATCACTTCACCGTTGACTGTGATCTTATCAGCCCCTTCTTTGTCATGTTTACCTTTTGATTTTCCTCTCTGTGCGTGTTGTTTTATTCTTAAACACACTATGAGGTCACTTCGCCTGGCCTGGGCTCCTAATGTCCATCCGTCTTTCTGATGTCACCTTGGCATTGAAAAACAAATTGCTATGGTGTCTGTGTGAGTGTGTGTTTTGGAAAGGTTGCCAGGAAGGGCTTATTGTAGGTGATCTTTTTACACAGTCTTATCAGTGGTTGTTGTTGTGATTTTAACTTGGTAATCATCGTTAATGTGACCCTTCACGGCCTCCATACAAACCCCAATCTTAGCAACAGGGCTGACCACAGATACACCCTTCCTGTATCGATGACTGTATCATGACTTACCTTGCTGTGCGCACTTGTAGGTGAAGAGGTTAGGGTGTGTGTGTTTAGGAGGGGGGGACTGAATAAAAGAGAACAAAAGAAACGAAAAAGTCTCTGGACTTCCCACAGGTCTTAACCTGCCGTAGTAGTTGGCAGGAAGGTGCAGACGGAAAGAGGGAGAGGCGCATACAGTGGATAAAAGGAAGAGTGAGAGAAGAAGGAGGGCAATTGGAAAGTTGATAAGGCTAAGAGGTCCGTGAGCAGGCCAGCAGTGAGGCAATGCTGTGTTTGCATTTTGTAATAGTGGACAGTTCATCATAACCAGCCTGATCGTCAGAACGCTCCAACTCCAACAGCGTTTTATCCACTGAACGTTTACCAATCTGCTGTAGGAGAGACGTGCTGATGATTCACTGCAGTAACATTAACTCTGTGCAGTAAATAAGTAAAATTTCTCAAACACTGTACTGCAATTCATTCTGATGAACTTTGAGTTTTTCTCCACTACTTACCTTTTATTTTAGGATTTTACATAAAAAGCTTATAGAATATACACTGTTAAAGGGGAACTCCACCAACTTTACACATCAAAGTCTGTTCACAGTCTGTAGTGTCTGTTACAAGTGATGTTACTTGAGTCAGCGTTGGCCGAAGACTATGAGAAATCTGAAGGTGTGAAGTTAGAAAGAAGTGAAGATGCCTCATCTCTACTTTAGGCTGGAGGCCAGAGGCTACGTTAGCCACTATTAGCATAACACACTTGAATCTCTGACTGAACTGAGGTTGGTCAAGTTGCATTGTTGGTAATGTAGGCGCCAGGTTTGACAAGGAAGAACAGTGTGGAATAAAAAAGACAATATCTCTGGTTCTGTCCATCATGTGTTTGACAGTGTTGTGCGAGTTTTAGATAAGCATGTGGCTCTCCAACCTTTTTGGCTTGTTAACCTGTACAAAAAAGTAGTAGGCATCACTTGTAATGATTCATTGCACCAAAGGGACAGTCTAATAATGTCATATGTAATAGATATACCAGTACAAGGACATTTTTTTATGCAAAACCAGTACATGTGCTTTTGATGCTTTAGGTCATTTTGCTGATAATATTAATGTTCTTTTATTTAATTATGATTGCAGGACTTTTACTTGTAATGCAGTATTCTTGTACTGGCAGTTTCATTTGAGTAAAGGATATGAGTTCTTCTTACACCACTGCTACTGTGTAGAACTAATGTTATCATAATGGGCTGCAGGATGGCACCATGCTCAGATGTAAATCATGAATACATCAGGTGAGAATTTTAAGCCGGAGCTTACCGACTCCAGCTGGTCCATCTGTGGGCTACCTGCTATCTGCCGGCCTTAATGAACTGGCTGCGAGCCCTCTGCAACCCAGAACATCTCATTAGCAGCATGACTTGTGTGGGGGTGTTCTTCCACTTCCCCTACTACCTTTTTCTTATCTTATCAACTCTCCTTTCTTTTTTCTTCTCCTCTAATCTTTTCCCTTTTATCTTATGACCCTTTTGTTTCACCTCCCTCTGACCTCTTTGTTCTTTTTCTCCATCACATCTGAAAATCTGACAAACGCCAGGAGTCCAAATGGTTATTCCACCACAGCTGCCGCAGTTGCATTTCTCCTCTGTCCTCCTATGCCCTTTATCTTTACAAACTCCCTGAGTAATTATTTCTACCCCTTTTCTCACTCCTTTTTCTCCTTCTGTACAATTACACTGCTCACCTTTTCCTCCCATCTCCTTATCTGTTGAATACAGACATACTGGACACAAATCCCTGACTCAGTGTTTTCTGCCACATCAATTTTCTCTCCCCTAACATTTTGCATCTCCACTACAACCCTCAACCTTCTCTTCTGCCCCTTGCCTCTTTTCGCCTCCAGCTAATTTTAGCGATGGTGCAGACCTCCTGCCCTTAACCTCCCTCCAAATCCATCTCTCCTTCACTTCACACCTCGCTCACCTCCTGTGCGTATCACCTCTCCCTACTCCCTACCTTGTTTCCTCTCCTCCCACTCATCCCCCCCTCTGGCAGTACACTCCGTCAGCAAAGACGTGACTACACATCTATGCAGTCCTTCAGGAGAAACTTCACCCACAATGCACATGGTGGAGAGATTTGCATGACAGGCACTGGGGCGTTTCACAGAGGGAGGGATGGATGGATGGATGAATGGTGCAAGAATAGAAAGAGAGAGAGAGAGTTGTTGGGGAAAGCGTTGGTCTGAATTATTCATCACTGGTCTATAAGATGAACAAATGCTTCAGAAAAGAGCAAGACAGAAGAAAAAAACACCTGTCCTTTGTTATCTCTCAAGAGTGTGATATATCTGTAAGCTCAAAGTCATCATTTGAAGATATCCAGCTCATGCCTGAGTCCCGGACTGTACTGTGGGACAGCCGCATATAGGCTGATGTTATCTCTACATAGGGCTCTGAATTTTAATAAATATTCAAATTCAGTCATGTAGATTGTAAATGCATGCTACAATCTGCCCCAACCATCCAACAGTAATCTGCAAGCTATAGTACAGGCAGCAAAGATTTGTCAGAGAGTAAAAGAAGAGCACAACAAAGGATCCCAGAGTGTGTTCATTAAAACAAACAGGGTTTTTTTGGACGTCCTCCGTCACCACAGTGGTGTAATGTGTAACGGCCCTCCTCTTTTCGTTCTCTGTGAGGCTGCAGGTAGAAGTTCTCTTGAAGCAGCATCCAGCTGCAGCCTTGGCTTTTCTGGGCAGTGTATTTCTTCTGATGTTTTCCTTTTGTTCAAGGCTGAGAGCAAAGATAGAAAAACACACGCACAAACACATTCATTTTAAATATTTTATTTGAATCCACTGGTTCATTTCAAGTGTGCAGGATTTAAACAGGGGTTATATTCATTCTGACAATAGTGAGAGAAGAAAACACTGCCTGTGTGGGCTCAAATAAGGGTGCTGCTCAGTTTAGCAGGAAAAGCTTAATTCACGCTCAGGTGAAAACACAGCCCATCTCTGGGAATAAAACATAATTTGAGGCTTTATCTACAAAAACAACATCAGGAGTTTAAGAGATGACTTCATTTTTAAAAGCTGTCTCACAGTCTGGGTGTGGATGAACACAATAAATGCTGAATTCACCAGGGGATGACCTCAATCTGACATAGCTGGATTATGAATTTGTAGTTGAAGACTCAGGCTTTTTTATTTTGTTTTTATTGTTTAATGTGATATTAAACTCAAATTTACATTTGTGACTCATGAATGTTTGACAGATGTTTTCTCTGTGTTTTCCTCACAGAAGTCCTTCTCTCTGGTGTTGGACGCTCTGGACTGCGACAACGACACATCAGAATCAGGTGAAGCTGCAATTTATGTGTCTGTATTTAATTATGTATTTAATTCATGTGTATTTGTGTGTCTGTGGGCGTGACATTTGACTGAGAAAGTTGTGTTGATGTTTTTAATGTATATGATTCTCCATCTCCTTGGACATAGCTTTAATTTTATGCCTTTCTATGATAATCTCCACCCACAGCCCTCTAAACAAGGCTAGTTAGCCTTCCATAACTAGCTAGTTAACGTCACACCATTTCACCATTATGACTGTATTTAGCCAAGTGCTGCTTATTAATGTGGTGAAACAAACTTAATTATAGGACGTTGGAGCAATAACATTGATTTTTCAACCTCATGAAACAGGTAAAAAAAAAAAGACAGCAAATTAGCTTTAGCTAAGGCTAGCTCTATCTATGCAGTCATGATGCTTTGGTTTTTACCTCCTCTTTGTAGTTCCTGGAAACATGTTAACTTTTGATAAATTATTTGTTTCTGTGACACAATAATTTTTATGTGGTAAAACAGATGTTGAAAAGTCAGATTCTGGTCATAGCTCAATTTCAACCAACTATGTCAAAGGCATCTAAGCTACTTTAGCCTTTAGCATGCTAGTTGGTGTTATTTTTTTGTTTTATACACTCCACAGGTGTTGCAGCATCACATTTGATTTCTCAATTACAGGTTAGAAAGGTAAATTAGCTTTAGCTAAGGCTAGCTCTGAGGTCGGCTAGCATAGTGTAATCAGTTTTGTTTTTACCTCTGTTTTTTTTTTTGGAAATTTGACATTTGTAAAAAAAAAAAAAAAAAAAAACTCTACAGCATAATGATGTGTTTATGGTAAAACACGTCAAAAAGTCAGACTAATGTGTTTTGACTTTGCAGGGCAGTATTCTCTCCCTGTCTCACCAAGAAAACAATTTTCATCAAGCAACGTTTTCATAGAGGCAAACAACACAAGTGCTTGTTTACGAGTATGTGTGGTTCAACATACTGAAACAATGTGAAAATATCCTTTGTGTCTTTATGTCTGTGATCATGCGAGGTTAGAGGGTCTTTTATCCAGACCCTTTAATTTCCTGCTCGTCTCCTTGTTGTTTCTCCTCATAATCAGGAAAAGCTCCATGACAGGGAATCTGAGCTGCATGCTATAAAAAGCATAACACACACACATACACACACACACACACACACACACACACACACACACACACACACAGAAACAGATGTTCCTATGCCTTCCTCATTCCTGTCATGCCACAGTCCTCCCTTTCATCCGACCATCCTCTACCTCCTCTACCGGTGAAGGGACCACAGTCATATCTGAAAGATGATGAGATAATGAGGACTGCACCAGCGATCCTCCTCCTTCTCTGTGTTCGTCTCTCCTGTCCTCTTCCATCTCTCCTTCCCTCTGTCCTCCAGCTTGTTTGCATTATGTGCCATTTCCACCTGAGCTCCTGACAGCCTCTACATCAGGTCTAAAGCCGTTCACTAGGCCGACAGCTTAGCTCAGCCCAAACACAGGCGTCCTGTAGCAGTCTGAATGGACTTATCAGGCCCTGCTGCTAATCAGAAAGGATTACCCAGTATGGCTGTACCTTCTGAAACAGTCTTTGGAAATAGTGAGAAAATATGATGTTCTTGGTGCACCGACAGTGTGACCTTCACCGAGTTTTGTTTAAATAAAATATAGTTAGTGTCAATGTGCAGCAGCATACCTTTGTCTTTTAAAGGATTCTCCTGGTTCATTACAACTTTGGTTTAATTTTCATAGTGTTGGCCCCCATTTTTTCACTTATGGTGACACTCACCAATGTACCACTAAATGAATTCTTTGTTTGCATTTACACACATTTGGCAGTTAATTAGGAGCACCTAGCTAAAGGTAATACAACAGTCCTGTGAGAAATCGTCCCTTCATGGTTATAATATTCCATTTTTATTTAAATGGTTTTAGAAAGGTTTGATTCAACTCTGTGATCACTTTAGAGATGTAGTTTGTGGTGCTGTGTTGCATTATGCAGAGAGGTCTTTCTGTTATTTAGACTACCCTCATTGATTTAATGTTGTGGACAAAATGATAGAAACATCTGTCAGTATAACACAAAAAAATACAAATATAATAGAAAAAAAGAAGCAGACATCATAAATAATCAATTAGACATCATGAATTAAATGCAATGACAATTGTTTTTTAAATTTAGTGAGCTCTTGATAATGTGTACTTTGGCAATAGCTCTACCCCTACACCAACATATCTGAGGGAATACTGGCCATGTTTAGGTGAAGATCGTCAAGCTGTCCATTTAAGTGCATATACCGTATATTGCACTTTTTGATACATGTCTTGAGTCGGGACAAAGTGAGCAAGAGGAAATTATTTCATGTTGCAAATCGCAGCTTTCACTCTGCAAATATGTTCAAATGGGCCCCAGGAGGTTTATTTCAAACCTCTTGACTTTCACCACAGTCCCAGATCTTAGCATTTAAAGCTACCTTTAATGTTTGAGTTCATTTGCAGAGCTGGAAGAATTTGAAAACTACATCACAGTCCCCTTCCTCTTTGTGTTATTTCTCTGCTCATTACACTTACCAAAGCTGATAAGTGGAATTGCATGAAACCATTGACAAAACTGTTCACAGTACATACAAGCTACTAACGAAATGGGAGCCCACTCGTGAAAACATTTCTCTCACAAGTGGCACTACTAGTGGTCTCTCACAAACCCCGCACCGGGAACTGTTAATTTTCCAGTTTGGTGCAGTAATTAACTGGAATTATCTTAAGATAGCTGTCGTTTCATTTTCTCCACGTTCATCCTTGTGTTCACATATTTATAGGGTCATTCTGAGTGCTGCTGTGTTGACAATTGTATCGACAAAGCACTCACAGCCACAAAATTGCCACCACCGCTGGAGAGAAAGTGGAATTCAATATTAGAAGCGTTATAATCTAGACCAGCTTGTCTATAAAATTCAAGACACATGTTTAGACTTAGTGCTTTTATCCAGATGACAATAAGTGCACTGGGACAGAAGAATCAAAACAGAAAACAAAAGCAAGAATCACTATCTGGCTCATCTATTGGTTTCCGTAGGTCTATTGAAATGTTGGTTCATGGCATATGGAATAGAGGTGTTTTCTCTCCTGCAGTGTTTTCTCAGCCACACTCGGGGGCAGGCACTTGACAGATAATACCAGGCAGTGGGGGACAATCACCAGAGGCCAGGGAAAGAGATTTAAGGGTTCTTTCTACGTGCAGCTACAATCCCTGTGTATCTGCTGCTCCCATTCTGTAAAGTGTGATTTCAAAAGAAGCTCAGGGCTTCTTGTTGCTGCTGTTTTTGCCATCTAATATTTAGCATCTCTCTCTCTCTCTCCGTCTTTCTCTGTACTTGTGCTCACTTGTTATTGTGCCATATCATTTAATTAGAGAAGAAATCAGACTCTGTTACACACGCCCCGCTGTGATGGTTGATAATGTGATTATTATTTCTACTCTTCTCACTTCTGCCGTTCTTCTCTTCTGGGAGAGAGATGGTGACGATGAAATTAGCCCTTCAGCATTCCAGAGTCATAGATTAGAGAAAAACCCACAATGCCCTGCAGTGGCGTGATGAGTTTTTGGGAAACCGGACCCAACGGCTGAGCTCAGTGTCCGCTCTGTTCCCATTCCTCTTTTACTCTCTTAAACACACACTCACGCACACACATAAACACACATGGACAAGCATGCGCACATACACACTGGCCAATATGTGCCCCTGTTTTCATTCCTTTGTGTCAAACCACAGTGATCTCATCTCTCCATCAGGCGGTTTGTTATGTGTGTGTGCTAATAGCTGCCTCCCTTCCTCTCTGGCTCTGTTTGCCTCTGTCTGTCTGTCTGTCTCTCTCTCTCTCTCTCTCTCTCTCTCTCTCACACACACACACACACACACACACACTCTCCCTCTCTCCATCACTGGCTTAACTTCCAACGAGGCTTTTCCTTTCTGCGTTACAATCTCACAATCTTTCCCTTTATCCTTACCACCATCTCTTAAAAACACACATACATACATGGAGACACACCAATATACACTCACACACATATATTCTCAGTGCTATATCTTAATACCCTGTCAGAGGAGATTATTACTGAGTTGGGGTCAACAACGCCTCTGGGAAATCCCCTCCGGGGGTCAGGAGCAGCAGCCACTGCCCCAGCACTGCCCCGGGCCTCGTCTGGTCCTCTCTGGTGTTCAGGCCGCCCCCTGTCTTCCCTGTAGACCCCTGACCCCTTTTGTCTGGTCCTATAGTTGGCTCTTGTCTCCATCGGTATTCATACATAGTTTTCTTCTTAGTTTTCTGCTCAAATTCTCACTGTCTGGTCAAGTGCTGTGATTCTGATTGATGTATCTAAGATATTATGCACAAGAAACTCTGTGCAAATTCACCCAGCCATTCACCCAGATCATAACACTATAAGAAAAAATGTCATAAAATGTCTTCAAATTGCTTGCTTAAGTGACCTGCGCAAACAAAGAGCCCGATACGTTTAAAGCTGCAGTGATCCATGTTTTTATATTAACAAAAGACCAACTGGCTTCATGTAATGTGAAAGAGGTGACAAACCCAGTGAGAATTAACACCCAACTCTGCAGTTCCTCTCAGCTCTACATTGGGTCTTAACCAAGTGGCAACCTCCAGGGCTGAAAAATGAAGACAACATCGAAGATCCTCGAATGGCCACTTGAGGCTGGCTCCGAAAGCGACTCAATCTTCATAGACCCCCATGTTAAAATGCAAACCTTTACAGGAAAAATAAACATGTTTACAGCTTGGTACAAAAAATGGTTTTGGTCTCTATAGTTAATTAACTCTTTCACCTGTTAAAATTTTATCAAGGCTAAAAGTTCTGCATAATTGAGGAAGAGCAACTTTGAGTGACAGGTGGTTGAGTGTATGCTTGCCACAAACCGGCATTCACTGGATCCTCAGCTCAACGCACGCCCCACCTCTTTGCCTATTTTTGGATTAGCTGGGAGTTCCTCTCATCAGTGTTGTTTGCAGCCACAGGCAGAAGTTCTCATTGGAAAAGCTCAAAAATCCAGCGTACACCACCTGCTCAGCACCAAACGACTGACAGACGCTGTTAGAAACTAGCTGGTGAACACAGTGGAACATTTAACTGCTAAAGAGACACATATTTCTCTCAGAGGGGCCAAAAGCACGACTCCAAATGAATGCTAATGCTGCTCTGTAACTGCTGGATGTGTACATACTGCAACTGTTTGCTAACACATTTACCATATTAACTTTATAATGACTTTATAAATTGGTGTTTAAGCATTAGTTGACAAATTAGTTTTCAAAATGATCTATTAATGAAGCCATGACTCCTTTTCCCCACGAGTGTAACACCCCTTGGTTTGATTCAATGCTAACAGAATACCAACTCACAGTGGATCTAATTCATCTAATTCAAATCTGCACAGTTTGAAAAAATATTTCTTTCTTTCATTCCGCCTCAGGTCAGTTAATTGAGCGAGTCCTCCTCTCCTCCATGTTGAACCCTGGTGAACAGTGGCAGACGTATCGTCACCACGGACGGATTCTCAGCCTGGAGTACCGGCTTCGCTTTCGCTGTGACTCCAATTACTACGGACCTTTCTGCAACAAGCTCTGCCGCGCCCGTGATGACTTCTTCGGTCACTTCAGCTGTGACCCCAGCGGCTCCAAGGTCTGCATGGACGGCTGGACGGGGCCGGAGTGCAAAGAAGGTGAGAGAGGAAACCTGTTTTACTACAACACACCATTATCTCCTGTATAAATTTATAAAAATGTAAAATTTGTGAATAAAATGATTGTAAGTCTTTATATTTGTTCGGCTAAGTCAGATACAGAGCTGTGAAAAGCAACTATTTTGAAAATTGATTAATGGTTCCCATCCTTTTTCAAGCAAAAATGTCAAACTTACCCTGGTTCCAGCTTCTTGAAGAGATCATTTGAGATAATTTCCCTCTATGTCTAGCTGAATAGCTTTGCCACCACCTTTTGTTTCCATGACATTATGATGAGAATTTTTAATTATGTGATATAATGTCAAGGCAAGTAAATTTATGAATTTAATACAACAAAGAAGCCCAAAGTGTTTTGCAGAGAAATTTAAAATACTATTAAATATATTAAAATACAAATAAATAGGTAAATAAATTGAACAGGCAAAAATAAATCAAACATGTTACTGTGATAACTGGAGCGATCTAGAATCAGTTGCAAAAAAGTGGGTGAATATTTCAAATCCACAAGTGAAATCAGAAACATTTCTGTCCTTTAACGCAGAAATGTTTTCTCATCAGTGGCCTCAACATGACTTGAGACTACTGATGAGAAAAATTTGAAGATGTTTTTGGTTTCCATTTATTTTTCCACTGGTCCAAGTAGGGGATTTCCTCTTCGGTGATACTTTCCAAGGTTTCTTAAAAGGTTTTTCCATGATGATGTCTTTGTTTTCCTGTGTAATTTTGCCCCCTGAAGCCCTTTGAAACTGTTATTGTGATTAAAAGCTGTTCAAACAAACTTGACCTGTAGCTTCATCATCCGTGAACCTGTGTTATCATTTTAAATTGCTGGATATGTTGTTTTGAAACCTAACTCACATACCTACTTGCATATTTAAGCCTAAAACCAAGTTGTAGCCCTCCAACAACCACTTGACAAAGTGATGATTGGCCTCATGAATGTCCTTACTGTCCAAAAATGACCACATGCAAGATGGTTCTCACAAAAATAGAAGAATAATCATTTGTGAGTATGCACATCTCTGCTGTTAAGAAGAATACTGACAGCCTTCAGGACTCATTACATTGACCCGCTCCAGTAAATACACATCATGTAGCTTTAGTGGACAGTATGTGTGTGAGGGATTATTCTCCGTCTGCCCATGACTCATCAGCTGGACAACCTCACTGTGTGACCTCGGAGCACTGCCATCATATTGAAATGGTAAAAGTTAATGGAGGAAACCAGAGTGGAAACCATGGGAACCCTGAAGGACACATAGCTAGTTTAAGGACATCCTGCAGCCCTGCCCATCCCGCCCCTGTCTCACTTCATCCGACTTCCTCCCCAGCAGGTCACTGATTGGACCGGAGAGAAGCAGGAAGTTTGAAAACATTGCCAGGCTCCCTCTGTTACCTCCTATAGGTTAATGATCATGATGAAGTTCAGGCAGTTTTCAGTCTTCTCCAGCTAGAAACTCTGAAAAACTTTTTACCTAGAAAATCTCACAATAAAATATAGGCAACGTACTTAGAGGATAGGTTCACAATTTTTCAAGTCTGTCTCAAAACATTAGTCAGGTACCACCATGAACACTGAAACAGGTTTTTCTCTTGGTGTGATCATTCCTTCTGTTCATTCTGCCCATGAAAAGATTTCTTCTTAATGCAATCTCAGTGTAAGTGATGGGGCTGTGATTGTTCTGTGATTGTTCTGCCCAGTAGTTTGAGTTAGTCAAATCAAGTGGATAATTTTCAAAATTATAGTCTTTTTTAGTATAAACTTACCTTTTTGTATTTCCCTGTTGAGCTGCAGAGACATTATATATTAAAAAGGCTAAACCTTTATGGATACCCCCTTGAATAAAATAACTGGGCTGGCTGGGGCCTCATATTAGCTTCAGATGAACTTTTGAATATATTTTTACACACAACAATCCACTTGAGTAAGTGCATTAGGAGGGGGCTTTTTAATGGCCTGTATGAACAGGAGGAACAATTACAGCAAGAAAAATCTGTTTCAGTGTTCATATGCACTCCTGACAATTTACATTAAAAAATGTGAACCTGTCCTTTCAGTTAGATGAAGATTTTTCTTCACAGAGTTAGTTAGAAGACACATATTCCAACAGTCTTCCTACATTTTTTAGTTTTTTTTTCCTAGGTGACAGCACCTGCTACCGACATGGATGATCTACTTTACATCACCGTCAGTGGTTCACAAAGTAGCATTGTTCATATCATTCAAATTACAAGCAGCGTGGGAAACATCAGCGTCCGACTTCTGAGTATGAGATATCGGGAATGTCTGTCACGATGATATCGCCCACTTAGTGAAAAGAACTACAGGCATATCAAAAACACTGTTGTGCACCACTGATGGCTGGTTACATCAAAGTAAAGCCCAACATTAACTGATGCAATTGATTTGGCAAATCTTATAGGAGCTTTACACAGTTTGTTTGTATCTGCTGGTAAGCTAATTTAGGCGAGTTATCTGGTGTGAGTATAATGTTACCACTAGCGCTAACCACTGAGAAATGTGTTCTCTCCCAAGTCAAAATAATGAATGTTGTTCTTGTTCTTCTTTGATTGGACTTAAATGAGCTATTTGTAACTTTTGCTATTGCTACATAGCCAATGTTAGCATTAACAGTTGTTTACTTACCAGTCTAGAAGAAACGTTGTGAGTTCAGCATCAAACTTCATTCCTTTACTCACCAAGAGCTGTCTCCAGCAGTGTCAAGTAACGCCAATGTTCACCCTTGTCTCTATCATGTCTTTTCTTCTACTGAAGTTAGCATGTTAACCAGCTAGCTGCTGTCCATCTCGTCACTTTCCGATACCGAGTCACTGTAGCCTCCAAACTGCCCTGAAGACGTTGCTCAGAGGACGTATTATAACCTCTTGTCCTGTAAAAGGCTGAAGGTCTTGGCAAGCAACAATCACCACCACCTACTCCTACAAGAAACCATGTTTGGCGGCAGAGAAAGCGTACAGATAGCCCCTTTAAAGTTGTGTGAATATGATTAATGTGGTGACACCAACAATTGATTGTCTGTATTATTGTTAATGATTGATAAATTATTGTTTGCTGGGGTGCATAACAGAAAAAGTTTGAGAACAACTGACCAAAGTCATGTCACAAACACAACTGAGTGTGTGTGAATTTCTGTTTAACTAACAGGCGTATTCACACGTAGACTGCTGATTTTATAGCCCAGTAACTCAACTGAATGTCATTTCTGTTTCACAGTGACTATTTTCTAGTCTCTAACAGATCCTTTTTGTGTGTGTCCCTGTTTTGTTCACAGCGGTATGCAGGCAGGGGTGTCATCAGGCCCATGGCTACTGTACGTTACCTGGAGAATGCAAGTAAGTCAGAAGATCACTCAAGAAAATGTTGTAATTACCACTATAGGCACTTATGTGGCAGACACCAAGGCTGAATGATATAATTTTGACATCAATGCCCCAGTGTGCAAAGTGGCAGTTTCATAGATCATTTCATAGTGTGAAGCAGAGTCAACCCATCAATCAGTACAAGATAACCCCACAATTTAGCAGGACACCTTTTCTAAACACTCTTCCTCCAGTCAGTCACAAATGGTACCCGATGTTTCTGGGGCAGCCAAAATGCAATATTGATGTTTTGTTGTTTTTGAATCTTATCCTGGATTTTCTTTTATTTTTTATTCTGCACCGGGGTTGGAATCTAAAGAAATCCTGCAGCCATGCAGCAGGTGCGGCTTTTTCCTGAACGAACTGATTATTTCCTCTCTTAAATCGCCATAGTAATTGCTGGAGTGATAAACTCTCTTCACTAATAGAACTTCTGAAGTTAAAAGCTGCATATGTGAAATTATGTATGTGTAGGTGTACCTACATGTTTTTCCAGTCTAGTTGTGCTGTAGCAGAAACAAAACACAAAACAGTTACTATAAATCAAATCCACATTACAACAAAAGTCTTTCTTCTCATTTCTTGTAGGTGTCACTATGGCTGGACAGGTCTTCTGTGTGACCAGTGTGTGACGTTCCCCGGCTGTGTGTACGGGAGCTGCACCGAGCCCTGGCAGTGTGTGTGCGACATCAACTGGGGAGGACTGCTGTGTGACAAAGGTCAGATATGTGCTCTGTTAAGCTTCTGCTGGAGAGATGAAAGAAAAATGAGGAATTCAATTCAATTCAACATCCCAAACATGTAAATGGAGCTACTTGTATTGAGGATCTTGCAGCTGCTGTCAGATCCTAATGAGCCTCACTTAAATATCTCATCCTAACCTCCATCATTTCACCCGAAACATAAATTCTTCTGTTTAAAATACACAAAGAACTACCACTGTTTTTTTTCCTCTTAGGAAAACAGTTCCACCAATAATTCAACATAATAAAAAACAGAGTGGAAAAAGCCAGTTGACTTTCTGAAAATCTCCACGACACAGTCATAAAAAACTTAAAACTCTGCCTTTATGGCCTATAAAACATATGTTTTCCTTTTTTCTGTCTATGAACCCATAGGTGTATGAAATCTAAACTACACATTGCTCTTTAAACTCACAAACACACTGATAGATTCAGAGAGCTCATTAGAATAGAGACACGGATCTTTCACCGAGCTGGCAAATACTGAGGTACTTATCACTGGAAACACCATGGTGAATGATGACAGTCACATCAGTGTTTTTATCACTTCTTGTTTTGCATAATAGCACATTTTTCATCAGAATTTTTTTTTACTGTTGGAATTTAATACAATCAAGATTCTCCACAGCTAAACTCCATAAGTAGAAAACTGTGTATTGTTTTGCAGTGTATTGTTTGTTGGTCAAGAACTCAGTCTGTCTGTGTGAGAGACAGACTTTCGTTTGAAAGGTGTTGTCTTCCCACACCTTCTGATCTTCTGTATGAAATAAGACAAAACGCCCTCTAGGCTCCACCCTCCTCCCTGAAACTTTTCCCACCACACTGCAGCAAAGGTCCTCCAACATTATCCCTGAATATAACCACCCACCTCCCACTTCTGTCCCACTGTGGGAGCTGGGATCTGGGAGCACAAACGAGTGCCCACGGGACGGTGTATTGTGCAGAGGAAAGGCGATAGCCTTGGGTAAGGTGAATGTGAGCGGGGTTGGGCTGGGCACTCTTAGCTAGGTGGGGTCCTAAGCTGTTTCTGTGCATTCAGAAAGGCTCTGTAAAGAGCTCCAGTGAGACAAAGAGTCTGTGGGCATGGAGGAAATCATTAGAGAAAGCAAAGCTTTAATCAGCCTCAACACTGGAGACAACAGGCCCTGCAGCTACTGGCCTGCACAGTCAGCACACTGAGCCGACCTGGTTACACTTCAGCCTCTGTGCTGTATGTGTGTGTGTGTGTGTGTGTGTGTGTGTGTGTGTGTGTGTGTGTGTGTGTGTGTGTGTGTGTGTTTGTGTGTGTTTGTGCGTGTGTTGTGCTCTTTTCCTGAGACAAAGTCAAGCTGAAGTGAACCTAGATCCATCTGCATCCTCATCCCTTTATCTCTTCTTCCCATATATACTGTATGTCTCTGCTGTTTTGTGCTGTGAACTAAGATGTAAAAACACCTTTATCATTTCTTTTTTGCGGTTTCAGATCTGAACTACTGTGGCACCCACCAGCCCTGTAAGAACAGTGGGACCTGCACCAACACTGAGCCAAACGAGTACAAGTGTGAGTGCCAGGAAGGTTTCAGAGGACGTAACTGTGACATTGGTAAGTTTATTTAAATACTGCATGTGGATACAGCAGAGATGTACAGAGAAAGAGAAAAAGAGGAAAAACACCGTGTGGTAAAGGGAGCAATAGTTAAAGTCAATGTGAAAACCTCCTCTTTGGTGATAATAGCAACTTGTACCACCTTTAATTTTACACTATTGACTGTTAAGGTTTGCTACAATATTCACTGTAAGTATCAGTGTGTGTATCCAGGGCCTTTAAATTTCCTCTCTTTCTTCTCCCATCAGTCGAACATGCATGTTTGTCGTCTCCATGTATGAACGGAGCCACCTGCGTGGAAGACCCAACGGGTTTCAGCTGCATCTGCACCGACAGCTGGACTGGAAACACCTGCGCAGACGGTGATTGTCAATGCCACACGAATACGCACACACAAACACTTACACACACAACTCGGAGGCTGAAGGGCTGGGCAGTGTGAGATTGTCTATGATTGGTTGTTATTGGATCAAAGCCAGTGAGTGACTCTAATCAATCCAACAGAGGAAGCTAAATTAGCCTGAACACAAACAGTATCAACAGCAATCAGTAATCTGTCTCGCCCTGTGTGTGTGTGTGTGTGTGTGTGTGTGTGTGTGTGTGTGTGTGTGTGTGTGTGTGTGTGTTTGCGTGTGTGTGCGTGTGCGTGTGTGTGCGTGTGCATGTGCGTGTGCATCTACATGTGTATTTGCATCACCAAAAAAAGAGAGAGACTAATGTGGAGCAGATGATGTAAACAGAGGTGACACTGTGAGTTGTGTGTTTTTTTAATGGCAGTAAATCAAGGTTTTATTGTCTGGTGGTTGAGTGTCATGGGCACTTTTCAGATGTAGCGTATTGCCCCCAGACATATCTGGTTTTGTCTAGATCCAGATGAGGTGGACTGACAAGTACTTGAGGAGTAGCCACTCAGTTGATAGAGTGGTTTCTCCCGTCCAAATGTTAAGGTTGAGCAAAACAAGGAAATCTCTGAACCCCAAATATTTTGTGATGTGATGAAAAACAAAAGAGTACTGAAGCAGACAGCAGACGCTTGTGATCTGCGTGTTGCCTGCCGTCCACAAGAAAGGCAAAGGATTCCTCCAAAAAATGTAAAGTCACACTGGTTACTTACATAAAAAGGAAAAAAATTGCAAGAATAACGAGTATCAGCTGCACACCACTTCTCCTCCTCAGGGTCAAATCACACTCACACAGACAAGTAAACACTATCAGCACAGACTTCATGTGAGAATTTGTGCTGCAACATCCGGTTTCAGACTCTCTAACTTTGGCCATTACAAGGATTTAGATACAACTGATAAAATACCAGCTGCTGATAAACGACAGCAATTCACAGCCACAACAATAACATGAATACAAGTAATCTGGTCCAAGAGAGTTGGAGAGTTTATTCTGATTCTGCAGAGACCCACTGACCTACAGGACATTACACCACGTGAGGAAGATATGATTAAGATTTTTTTTCCTGCATCACAACAAACTAACTGACACAGGCTTCTCAGTGTTTACCTTGACATCGAGATCGCTGTGTATTTACATGCACTTATTGGTCACTGTTGGCTTTCTGCAGTGACCTCATTTCTGAACTGTCATGTAAACAAGACACACGGTTTTTTGTAATCAGAGTAAAATATTTCTGCTGAAGAAATCTGGTCTATTACCATAATCTATTTCTAACAGGATTTTACAAGAGAACATGTGGATAAGAACAATGTCAGACGCAAAGGAACAAGGCTAGAACAGCATTGTGGGGGGATGAAAACACTGATGTATCTATGTATTCAAAATAATTGAATTCAAAGTTCAACTATAACTTAAAGGAGTACTTGTTAAGTACTGCAAAAAGTTTGTCTCAAACCCAAACTGATATGATCGGGGTTATTTCCCAGACTTTAGAAAGTTTCTTTTAAAACCACAGAAGATATTAAGGCTTTTTATTGGCTGGGTATTCCTCCAAATTCAAAGTACAGTGGCCAATAAGTGTAAAAATGGTGGAATTATTAAGTAAACTTCAGCAGCTGAGCTGTTAACTATTTGTAAAATTCAGAAATTCAGACACAGTAGCAATAAATGGGGATCATCCTCCGTATACCCCACAAAGCTTAGATACACCGAAATGTGAAACACACACAGACTCACATAAGCTGACAGGACTGGATGACTGTTTGAATACAGATCCCTTGTCCACTCTTGGTCACTGCTGTCACTGGTTTACATCGGCCCACACACTGTAAGATCTCCCACTTTCAGGTTCTGAAGCCTGGATAAAGGTCAAACATGTTTTTGGCTGCAAAGTAACAACTGAGCTGTCACAACACGCTGTCTCAGGCTCGATCATGTGGTCCATCTGTGTGTGTGTGTGTGTGTGTGTGTGNTGTGTTGTTTGTGTGTGTGTGTGTGTGTGTGTGTGTGTGTGTGTGTGTGTGTGTGTGTGTGTGTGTGTGTGTGTGTGTGTGTGTGTGTGAGAAACTTATGTGTGTGGTAGTAGGTTTGGGTTCATGTTGTGTGTGGCGGCAGGCAAGATTGGATCATACAGGTTATGGTCTGTCAGAGCTGTGTGTGTAAACAAGCTGCGTTCCACATCCTCTGCGTTCACCTCGATCATTATGAACAGCGCTGCAGGTCGGTGGCTGACATGTAAACACTTCAACAAGAAGCATTTTTATCAGAGAGAGAGAGAGAGAGAGAGAGAATAGGAAGAGGGGAAAGACAAACAGAAGAAAGAAGGCATTGTTTGTTTTTGCTTTGGTTCATCACCCTTTTTATTTGTTGCTCAAATGCGGGTCTATCTCTGTCTCTGTATGTGTTGTGGGGGGCTCGCTGGGGAATACACAGTGAGAAGATTGTCAGGCTTGCAGGGAATGACAACCAAAACCGCAACACAGCTCTGTTTTCAGACTAGATTTAAATACATATATATATATATATATATACACAACCAATATTAATTAAAGGCTTCTTTGTTTGTTATGGATTCTCTGTCTAGTTTTGGGAGAAGTGCCGCTGGCTTGACGTGGTTATTATTGCGCAGGGTCTGAGTTAGGGTCAGGAGGATGGAAAATGGTATTTCTACAGGGTTAGGTAAATGAAAAGAGGTTATGAGAGAGACAGAGAGCTCTTGAGTGGAAGCCGTATACCACAGAGATATGCATGGGAAATGTTATGATGCCATTACTGCACAAATATGCCATGTGTAATATGNAAATACATATATATATATATATATATATATACAACCAATATTAATTAAAGGCTTCTTTGTTTGTTATGGATTCTCTGTCTAGTTTTGGGAGAAGTGCCGCTGGCTTGACGTGGTTATTATTGCGCAGGGTCTGAGTTAGGGTCAGGAGGATGGAAAATGGTATTTCTACAGGGTTAGGTAAATGAAAAGAGGTTATGAGAGAGACAGAGAGCTCTTGAGTGGAAGCCGTATACCACAGAGATATGCATGGGAAATGTTATGATGCCATTACTGCACAAATATGCCATGTGTAATATGAAGTTATGCATGGTTAACCCCTAAGCTCAGAGCTGTCTATCTGTCTGTGCTTCTTTTTCCTCACGTTCCCTCTGTTTCTTTATCTGTTTTTAATTCCTTTTCAGAGCAGTGGAACCAGGCGTGGCAGCTCTGTTTTTCTATTCCCAGTTAAACCCCTGTCTTTCTCTTCTCCCATCATCCTTTCCTCTGTTTAAATTCACTCATTCCTCCCTCCTTTCCAGGAAAGGTTTGAGGTATCAGACATGTATGTGCAGCAGAGGATTGTATTTATCACTGTTTGCTCAGAAACCAGAGCAGCAGAAAAGAGAATGAAAACACAGGCCACCAAAGCATCCGCATACCAATGCGACAGTTCAGATCACACATGTCCGCATGGTGGCATCGCATTTACACACACATTTACACGCACACAAAATGTCTCTTTAATATTCACACACGCACATTCCCATTACACAGACCAGTAGTTCATGTACAGTGTTTCCTCTCTCCCCTCCCAGCGGTGAGGCAGTGTGATCGGAGCCCTTGCGGACGTGGAGCGACATGTGAGGAGGCTCCGGGAGGTTACCGCTGCCTCTGCCCGCCTGGATGGACCGGCAGGACGTGCCAGCTGGGTCAGTGGGTCAGGATTAAACAGCTGAGTCTTAAGTGGAATTGTACATGTAGTATGTATACATGTACAGGGCAACTGCCTTTGAATAATGGTAGCCTGTTATGCCTATTCTTCTACATATTATAAGACATGCATAAATATTTCATACAACACCTTTCAAAACAGAGTGGGAATATGCTTTAGTAGTGAGTAAATAAAGCAGAAATAACTAAATCAAGAGAAGAAGTAGGGCTAGGTAAAATGTCAGTATTATTGTTATTGACTTTAAGCAAAATCATGGTGAAAATATGATCTTATCATACATTCTGCATATCTCTTTATGCAAATGAATGACAATTAATGGCCAAATTAGTTAAACAAGGTCAGCTCAGTAACTGTTCTGGACGGAGCTGCCCAGCTGTCACGAAAATGTAGATGCTCAACTTCTTGTGCAGTTGGCCGCAGAGGTGAGACTGAAAGTTCATTTTTGACCATGGACATGACAATTGACAAAGGGTCTCGCCACAAGGTCCATTTAGCGGCTGTTCTGGAGCTTTCAATTGGCAATCGTTAATGGTTTGGTTACACACATACAAAAAAGGTTTCATGTAGCCTAATGCAGAACAGTGATACACAGTTCATTTGAGCATTAGTTTAATTGTTTGTCATTTTGCTTACATAGCAAATAGTGCCTTTAAAGACAGATGATCATCAATTATTTTAATTATTTACTTAATTAAAAGATTGCCAAGTAAGAGCAAGAATTGATGTTAGTTGAAAAAATGTTGACAAAGGAATTGGGTTTTGGTTTTACATTCTTGACTGTTTGAGATGCAGACACAAAGACCTTTAATGCAACAAAGCAAAAAAACAAGGTGGCACACTCATTGCCAGTGATTCAATGCAGATTAATTAAACCAACACTTCACCACACACACTGGCTTTATTGGGGATGAAAGTGTTGGGTTTCACTCAATATGAAAACACACAGAAGCCTTGAGTGTGTCACCATGATTTACAAGCTTTGTGGCAAAGATTTCATTGCCAGAACCAACAGAGCAGAGTGTGAATCAGTTTATATGAGGTTAACAGGTACATGATGTACTGTGGTTTGATGCCAGAACTATATACTCTTCAACTAAGTGATAAAATATTTAACTTTGATCTGAGCTTGACAGACGCAGAGAGCAAAGACACTAAAGTTGGTGCCCCAGCATAAAAGTTAAAAAGTTTAGCATACTGGGTGATAATTTTTCATCATTAAAGTATCAATCTACAATTGTTCATAGGGTGTGTTCTATTAACGAGAACATCTGGTATTTATCATCTTCAAAGGTATCTATTTGTAGGATTTTTAACATTGATCCTCTAACAAGAAAAATCAGCCTGAGCTGTAATACACAGCTGGTTTCAAAAGCTGCAAAAACCTGTTTCAGTGAGCAATATGTGATTATGTATCCCATTTGTGGTGAAATATGCATTGAAAGCTCAAATTAAAGAAGCAGAAAAGGCCAGCAGCATGTTAATTCTCCCATCAACCCATCCTGACTCTGAATCAGTGTTCTCTAAATGCACTGACACGTCTCTTTGTGCTGCATTCACTCATATTGACAAGTATGCTCCCAGAGGGTGATTGTGTTAGATAGTACAGCAGAGGGAATATTGTCCAGAATCAGGTCACACACACACACACACACACACACACACACACACAGACTGTATCTACTGCATACAGAGTCTTGGAGGGTTATGAAGTAAAAACTGAGACATATTTCAGGATGACAACCTCTCCTACTCCTCTGTGTTACAGTGATATGTCACTCTGACACTTGATAATCCCCTATAGTTCCACATCACAGGTCAGTAGCTCACAGTATAACACATGCACGAACACATGCACACACACACACACACACACACACACACACACACAAACACACAGTTTTCAAACACAAGTGATAAAACTCTTTATTGCCTGAGCCAATAGGGAAAGCATCAGTGTAGCCCAAAATGGTGGAAAGCAATTACACCTTCTATCAGTTTCACTCTTTTATTAGTCAACTTCTGCCCCTACATTTTCTCCTGTTCCAGGAAAAATCCCCAGGCTTTTTCTATAGATAACACCCCCCCCCCACCCCCCACCCCACACACACACACACACACACATATACACATACACACTCTACCGGTGCTAAATCCTAATAGGCTTCTCACTGACGGTAACAGGTTTAGATTACCTATAACTGACTGACTACTTCCTCTTTATTCATTTAGCGTTTCTTTCTAATCCTCCTCCTCTGCTATCAGAGCCAAGCCCTCAGGGGTTCCTGTCTTTAACACACCCAGTACGACAGAGGGTGGGAATAGACACACATAAACTTAACAGAAGCTGTGGTGCAGCAGGGGGATCTATGCATAAACAAAGAAGATGCAAGAGGATGCTGCAAGGCATGACTTTGGATGTACTGTGCATTTGTAAACATCATATTCATTGGGATCTATGAGAGGCATCCACTCTCCAAGTGTTGGTGTGCATCCTGCTGGCGTCTGCCCAGCAATTCTCCACTTCATGGTTCAATTCAAGCATCCACTTCAAAATTTAATTTAACTTTGGCTTAACAGGATGGTCAGGGCTCAGTGAGAGGCACACAGGATTAGATGCAGTAGTTTTATGGGATGTGTGTCTCTCAGACGAAGGGATATATGTGATGTTTTATCTTATTTCAATGAGAAGTGTAATTAGTTTGGTGCTGATAGATTTATGCAACAAGATTAAAGTTGTTTTTAAGGGGACTACGTTTGATCTCAACCAGAGCCAACTCAGAGACTTTCTGTGTGAAGTTTACATGTTCACCTTGTGTTCATGTGGGTTTCCTTTCCCCACTCCAAAAACATACATGCTAAGTACTACATACACTGCTGCCATTGCCCTTGACTAGGGCACTTCAGTCAGAGCTTTGCCTGATAATCGGACCGAATCTGACTGAGCCATTTTGTTACACTTTGATTTGAATCACTGAACAAGACGAGGACGTAGGCAGTGATTAAGAGTTCTGGTCACAGGCCATTTAGTCAAAAAGAGATAAAATGAGGAGAATTTTCCAGAAGGAATCAATAAAGTATACTTTTTAATTATTATAAATCAGATATGAGCTTGTCTGTTGGCTTAACTGATTGGCACTATGTATAAAATCTACAATTAAACTTCCCCCGCTTCATCAACTGAACTACAGATTTAATTTCAACTGGTTTCAATGGAAATGTTTAGTTTCTCATGATGGTATAATTGTGATGTGACCCATTTTCTTACTGCATACTAACCCTGTGTGCCTTATGTTTCCACACTGAAAAAGGGACAAAATATACTCTCATACACTATATATCAGCCAGTATTGTACACATTCTACTCACTTTCTGTATGTACAACAGAAGTGAAGGTACTTCTACCAGTTGCAATACTGTAAATAAGCAAATTGTGAATAGAAAGACCCAAGAACAGTTTTAGATCCATTTCTTTTCTCTAATTGTCCATCAAGCAATGACAGAGATTTTAAAAAGATATGTTTATTTTGCATTTTATCAGTTGTTTTAGAAATGCTGTCCTCTTGCTGCTTTGTCCCTCTAGACACCAATGAGTGTGAAACGAGTATATGTGTCCACGCCCGCTCTTGTCGCAACCTGATCGGTGGATACCTCTGTGACTGCCTTCCTGGGTGGACGGGTCCTAACTGTGACATCAGTGAGTATAAAAGGAAGAGAAAGAAAAATGACAGAAGAACAGAGAGTTGATAGTCCTGTGGCAGGCAGTGAAACATGAAGGGCCTCAGTGGTTTGTGTTAGAACGGCAATTCCCCTGCAGCCCACAGTCCCTGTGAGCAGGAGGTCATTTTACTCCAACTCCAGTTCAATCTGTCATCTGTCACAGGGTATCACTGGAATACACTAAAAATGTAACACGAACCAGTAACAGTGTGTGAAGGTTTGTTTTTGACTATCATCTCCTGTTACATTGTGGAGACATATTGTTGTAAAAAGGTACAGACTGGCATCCTGGTTGCACAGTAATGCAACATATTCAAATTTTACTCGTGATCAGTAATGCACATCAGCCTGTTCTGCTTTCACTTTGTACATTGTTGTTTACAGCATCATAGTTGCACATGGAGCTTGTCCTTTTGTGACAGGTTAATGTAGTGTTTCTGCTTTCTCTGATTTCTAGGGAACAGCAGCTGTCAGGGTCTGTGTTTGAACGGTGGACGTTGTGAGGTGAGAGTCCTACCTTCCTCTGTCTAATTTGCCTGCTGTCTCTGCATATCAGTAACAACACTCGCCCGCTTCATTGTCTTCCCCTCGCTCTCTCTTTTACACTGTAGTGACATTGTCGTCTTCTTTGTATTACGCCTTAACCCAAGTCAAGAAAAATAACCAATTTTGAAAAAAAAAAATTTGCCTCAAGGTTAGATTTATTCTCAAAGGGGCAAATGTGTCATTGCCTGTGGTAGACTCATCCCCTTCCTTCTCAAGTGCCTCTTTTCCCTACCTCACATAATCATTGCTCTCTCTGTTTTACATATTTATATTTACATATTTATTTACATATAAAAAGACATACACCTCTGTTGTACCTAGGACCAGGTGTCGGGGTCCAGATGCTGGTGTCCACCTGGTTTCTCAGGGAAATACTGCCAAAATGGCCCAAGTCCTTGTGACAGCGCCCCCTGTCTGCATGGAGGACAGTGTGTGGAGAAGGATGGAAGGACGGCCACCTGCAACTGCCCCATGGGATATTCAGGAATCTTCTGTGAGGTTGTAAAACCTTCATAGATTCAAAGTATAGTTTAAAAGTTTGCAGGATTAAAACATCATAGTAAATGACATACATAAAGACAATGTGTATTAAAGTATGAAAAGTGGTTGAAAATTTGACAGGGAGAATATCAGGTACATACAGACACTTACACATAAATCCATGCGTGAAAATAATAATATTAAAAAGGGTTGATAAATGAAATATCCTAAACATGAAAGCAGATAAGCTCATCTACCTGAATTGTTTACCAGGATTAGTAGCCTGACAATATAATAATATTTTTCTGCCCTCCCTGTGTGTGTTGACGCAAAGCTATGTTTCACTTAAACCAACCATTGGTGGTAAATTAGGATTAGGTTTCATATTTTTTAAGTTCGATTTAAACCAATAGCTGGGGGCCCATATGTACATTGAACCAGGTTTTTCTTGCTGTAATCATTCCCGCTGTTCATGCTAGCCATTAAGTCATAATGCACTTCAGTGTAAATGATGGGAGACAACATCCTCAGTCCTCATTGTGTCAAAAAATATATTCTAAAGTTCAGCTAGAGTTAATTTGCGGTTTTAGCCGTCTGAGTTAGCTGAATCAAGTGAATTTCTGACAACGTCTTCAGTCTTTTGAGTATAAAGTTCCCTTTTTCTGTTTCCCTGGAAATTGTTTCCTTGTTGAGCTGTACTAAAAGGCAATAACTCTGAAAGATATCCACATGATTTGTTTGAGTCAGACTGCTGAGGACTCGTATTATCTTCAAATAGACATTTTAGTGTGTTTTGGCACAAAACAAGGACTGTGGATTTTGTCCCCCATCACTTAGGCTACACTCAAAACACATTAGGACAGGGTCTTTTAATGGCCAGTTTAGGAAGAAGGGATAATTACGGCAACAAAAACATGTTTCAATGTTCCTGTGGGAACATGACTGTTGTTTAAAGCCAGACATGAAAAATTGAGAGCCTATACTTTAAAGTGAAATTAAGTTTTATAATTTCCCATTTTACTAATGTTCCACCCTCTTTAAACATTTCAGAACGGCTGGAAACCTTTATAGGGTAACGGATTAATAAAACTGTTGGATGTAGGAATAATTGCATGTCTTTATTACCCCTCTTATTGTTTCATTCTTTACATTATTTCAGATAGTGTTGGATCTGTGCAATCCCAACCCCTGCCAGCAGGGGGTACCCTGTCACATCACAGAGGGCAGGTACATGTGTGCCTGTCCTGAGGGTTACTATGGGAATGAATGCATGAGCCTCAAAAATCCCTGCATTGGTCAACACTGTTCAGGTGAGAGAAATACTGTACGTGAAAAATGTGTCTATGTGTCTAAAAATGTACAAAATCTTTTTGAACTCAGGTCTAATCTCTCTGCACTCATGCCTGTAGGTGCCATGTCTGACACAACACACGGGGGCATCAGCTTCTACATGATCCTGGTGGGCATCTTAGCGTTAGTGACAGTCTGTGGCTGTGCTGCCTGTGCCTTCATCCTTTCGCACCTCCATCGAAAGCGGAAAAAGCAGCAGGCCGTCCCACAGGAAGAAGGCATCAACAACCAGAGGGAGTTTGTCAACCTCATCAGAAACGTGGACCGTCCCGTTCCCCTCCTGCCGCCCGCTGCCCCGCTCACGCAGCCTCCAGCCCCTGCCCCCGTCTCACGTTGCTACGAGGAGATTGAACTGACCCTGCCGCCTTCCCCGGCCCCTTCACACCCCTCACCGGCGCTAAAGCCTGCCCACGCTCCCAAAATGGACATTTCAAACCAGGACAGGGAGAAGTTGAACCGCTTCCACCACACAGACAACCAGGAACTGGAGCTCTGACCCTTGAGCTTTTGTGCATCTGAGGAGCTTTTTTCATTTTGTTTTGCGTCCTTCGCACTCTTTTGCTGACAGGAGCCTGTCTCCAGATACTGCCACTTTATCACAGTTGCAGTTATGAAAATGGGAAGACCCTTTGACCTTTGTGTGCTCAGATAGCTATCGGCAAACGCCTGAGAAGCAAAGGCTGCTAAGTAGAGGGGTCAAAAGTCTTACTGTGTTGACCTCTTTGAGCCTATTTTGATGACTGTTGGAAGCAGCAGGTGCATGATGTCTGACTGAAAGACTCTTCAGACTCTTGAATTAATCTGGAGACTTAAAGACTTGCCTTGGAGTGCCTGAGATACTGTCAAGAGGAAGTAGAGGATCATCCTCTATAGGAGCCTCTCAACGTGTCTCCTGGTCCACGGTGCCATGGGATTGGTGTTCAGACCTCCATTTCTGTTTCAGACCTAACTCTGACAGACAGAGAGAGCGATGAATGGATGTTTATTTAACACTAGGTGTGTTTCTGTGTCTAGTTGTCCGTAAGTGTGTGTGTGAGAGAGAAAGAGAAAGCGAGAGTGTATATTATGAGTGTGTGTGTGGAAAAAAAGGAAGGAAAGAAACATTTTACTTAAAGAAAAGAACAACAAAGTTGATATACTTGTCAAAAAAGAGTGCATACTCCTGAATTAAAGGCTTTTAAGCCTTTTGAAAACTGTTTTAAAACCATACACTGTTGCCTGCATTGTCTCTGTAATACTACAGTTTGTTAACGATGTATGATTTTTTCATACCTGTGTGTAAAATAGCTTTTTTTGTACATAAATATATTGTACATATTGATGCTCTTTTTGTACTGTGGTTTGGTCTGAAAGTATCTCTGTATTACTTTGCTCTATTTGTCCCATTTCACTTTCCATTTGGAACAACCAGCACATGTGGATTGTAATAAAGGTTTATTTACCAACACTATTTTATATTTTTATTGCCCATAATCATTCACCACCAGTGTTAGGGCCATATTTGCTGCTAGAGGGAGGTGTCAGCACTGCCATACGAAGATTAACAACTACGGTCTTTACAAGAGAGAGAAAAGTGCTTCTCACACTTTTTTACATGTATATAACAAATGACGTTTTAGATACTATGACAAGCTTTCTTGTTAATATCTTTGTCAGAGGCCTTAGCAAGAATATCTCATGAGGGAGCAACAAGGAAAACATAGTCTTTTGATTTTGTTCTCATTTGGTGTACATTTATTAGTTTGTAATTCAAGTGAATTACAGCATAAGTTGTCACAGTCCAATTTATTTTAACATGAACACTGAAGTGCCCACAGGTCCATCTTTACAAGTTATGATTTGCCCCAAGCAGTGTTCGAATGTGAAACACACGAGACTCCACAGTTCCCATATGAACGAATAGGTAAATAAAAATGATCTTTAAAAAATGAAATCATTAATAACAATGATCTTTGCAACACAGCGTAAAGATCTTCGTACCCTCTGTGTGTGTGTGAGTGCACTTTATGACAAGCTCTCTTGTCCATATCATTGTCAAATGCCCAAGGGAAGATTTTATGAAGCACATGGCTCACAGCCACTTTCAGTGGGTCAGTGGGTCACACTGTATACACAAGGTCTCTCTCGTTCTCTGTCTCTCTCTCTCTGACACACATTCATAAACAATGATGCTGACAGTGCCAGGAAAAATGGAAAACCACCTGACTGACCCCAGTCTTCCTACAAAAATTATTGTGTGGTTGTGAGAAACTTGTCTGTTATTGGAAAGTTGGTAAAACTTACAGTAAGTTGCAAGAATATTTGGATTCCGAGGGAAACTGCTGCCAGTTAAACTAGAACTTCTTAGCACTGTGTAATTGTAAACTATTACCTTGGAGTTTCAGATATTATTTACTAAGTGCAGTACTTAAAGTTTAACAAAAAGTTTTAAAATATATCAAAGCATAAAGAAAAAATATTAAAAAACAAAACATTTTTGTGGCAGTGTGTGTATGTAAGCACAGCCTCATTCCATGCATGCACGTGAGGCTGATAAAATGATAAAATGACAATGTGTGACAGGAAGGGGTTTGTGTTTCGGGGCAGTGTAAAGTGACTGCAAGGTCACTGCAGCGACAATTAATGGACAAATGGATGTTACAAATGTGACCTCTGGCCTGTGCAAACAGCGGCAGGCTGGAAATGAACACAGGCTTCCTGTCACCACCCTGGTAAAGAGGAAATGTAGGAAATTGAGTTTACACACACACATGCACACACTACTGTATGCCTCGGAGTCTCTCTACACCTGCTGTGAGGACCAGGATGTCAGACCACTGCTTGCTGATTATGAAGTTTACACTCAGCTGAGAGGTATAGCTGCCCCTCAGTCCAAGCCTTAGAGTTCCTAATATGTATATCAATAAGAAGATATAGGTTGCATCTAAACTCCTGGTTTCTGTTATCATCCTTAAGTTTGTTCCCTTCAGCTTTGATACCATAGCATCAGGTCAAGCTAGACTCACAGAAGATAGTTTTTATTAGTGGAGGAGGGACTATTCAAATCATTTAAGTTAACCTAAATCCCACACTATAAAAATACTTCATTATAAGTAAAGTCCCCCAATCAAAATTTTACTTAAGTAAAAGTATAGAAGTATCATCAGAAAAATGTACTTAAGGTATTAAAAGTAAAAGTACTCCCTATGCAGTGTTGGTGTGAACTGGTACAGGAGATATGAGGAGAAAACATACATAGAGACATTGCCTTTTTTTACAGTAGGGTATAATCTGTAATAATATATACATTATAAAATGATTACATGTTTTGTGTGTAAAATTATATTTCAAAAGTAAATAATTATTACATATTTCAGATAAAGGTACTGGAGTAAAAAGTAGAATATTTCCCTCTGAAATGTAGTGGAGTAAGAGTATAAAGTAGAATGGGTAATAGCCAGTGGGTAATAGTACAAATGCAGTGTAATCTGGACCAGAGATTCAACATTTGTACAAGGCCTATGCATTGTAGACTGTTATAATGGCATCCTGCTTTGTTGGTGGCATGCATTATCATTAATCTTAGTTCAGTTCATATGGGTTGACAAAATAAATATTAGCTCTTAAACAGGTCTGAGATGCAGTTATTCAATTCAATACAATAAAATGTATTTCACCAGGAAAATCTCAAAAGAACGGTGGACCACGAAGCCTGCCCTACAGGGACATCTTGTGGCCATATTGCTGCCATTTTTTCAGTGTGTCAAGTAATTACACTGAAAGAAAACAAAACCCCTTGTAAGGTAGTTGTATTCCATCTTAGGAGACCTGTATGGCGATTTGAGAAGCTGGTAGCAGTGACTGTTTTTTGCCATCTAATTTTTCTGTCAATCGACTAACTGATTTATTAACTTAATCATTTCAGTTTTGGAGTGCTGGTTGGATTCTGGTTGCCAAGGGGGGAACAATTTGTTTCTCCTGGGTCCTGTAGTAGATTAATCCGGCCATGCATGTGACTGACTTCCCAAAGTTGTATAAACGTTCCGCGAACGTTCATTTTAGGCAAAATATGTGAACTACCGTCCGTTCCCAATGTTCGCGAAAATTGGCTGGGAGATTATGTTTGTAGAACCTTCAGAGAACCTTTAGGGAACGTTCCCCGGCAAACGTTCTTAGAATGTTAGAGAACCTTTAATGAACACCCCCCAATTGTCACCTGTTTGCTGCATGAACTGTTGATCAGAGTGATGGCATGTGGAAAGAAACATCTGTTTTTGGTCGTTTTAGCATGCAGTTTTCTGCGGCACCTAGCAGAGGAGAGATATCATAAGAAAATATGTCAAATTTTTACACTGTGGAATTTTATAGATTCATCACGTCAAGCTTCGCAGCCTGTTTGCAAAGGCCGGCAGTTTTGACACATGCTGCGTTTGGCGCACTAGTAATACATGGGTACAGCGCCCCCCCACCGGCCGGGCTCGTTACTGCACAGACCCACAGTTCACGGAGGAGGAGGCGTGTGACGCTCCGCTACCATCGTCCTTATCTGACCGAAAACAACCCCAGTGTGTGTTGGTGGTCAGGAAAACAGGTACACGGTGACATTTAAAACGATGCTGAATGTGCAGTGTGGATGTATTTAATGTTTCGTGGATGTGAACTAGGCTGTTGTTCACGTGTTGTTTCTAACGTTTCTGCAGACTAGCTAAGCTAGGCTAGGCTAGCCTTAAAGCTAAGTGGCTAACAGCAGCAGACGCTTATACAGGCCAAGGCTACATGCGCAACCAGGCCGATGTGTATGCTGACAAACTTTGAAAACATTTAACTCAGGTCCTATTCGACCCTAAAGGTGAAAGCAGGGAGGTGCAAATGGCCGTATTAAATGCACAGTTAATAATAGATTAACGGTGCAGTGGTGTGATGAGCTTGACAAGGTTAATATTAGGTAGTTAGCCATGTTAGCTCTTTAGCTCCAGGTGTTTTAACTTCTGTTATAAACTACTAAACAAACAAATCACACTAGAAATAAGATTAACAAAACATTTGGTAATATACAGTAGCATCCATCCATATTTTACACTCGGGTCACACATATTTTTGCCTTTTCAGTTTGTTTGCTTGAATGTCACTTTTCTCGGCAACACCAAATTGTATTTGCTACAGCCAGCACGAGTTTAACATTGTTAGGACAAGCGAGTGACTAAAACCATCAATTTATTTATACACAGTCACGTGTGGAACAGTGTCTGTAGTTGCGGCTGACCGATAAGTAAGAAAATATCCTTAAGCATATGCAAATAACTAAAAGGCCTCCTTCGATATAAATAAATATGTAGCCAATACCTTTCAAAAGGGAAAATCACATTAAGTTGTCTAGTTAGAAGTGAATTACACTGGACTTTCAATTTGCAGGCAGTGAATATTTTTTTGTTGTTGTTTGTTTTTTTACTTTATTTTTCAGCGTTTCTTTTGAAATAAATTATACTAGGAGATCGGTTTGAATTGTTTGTTTACCCAAAATAGGATCAGTATTACACATTATTATTAACTTAAAGAAAATCATCAATATTAATAACACAGACAAATTGAATGAATGAACAAAGTAAGCTTTTATTTTCTCTTCATACCATTAAAATGGTCTATCCCACACAGGATAACATGACACACAATAGTATCACATGTAAATAACAACTTCTGGCAATTGACTTTCATGTTCCAAAGAAAATCAAAACAAAGACGTGATACAAAACATTGTCAAAACACTTGCAGAGAGAAAGTGTCCATTTTACAAATTGTTTTCATAATTCCAATGGCTTCCATAAGTAAGTAGTATTTTTTAGTTTTAATTAACTACCTCTTTCTGGAGTTAAAATACAACTCAAATTGACAACATATCTCAGTTGGGCACACAGAGATCTTTTCTTTTTAGGTATCTTAAATTTCATATAATTTTCAGCACTGAAGCAGTTTAAACCACGTTTCAAACAGCTGGGGAGTTACGTCTAAAATATTTATATCAAAGAAATGACGTGGAAGCCAGAAGTTGCATGCAGTAATCTCAGAAGAACTTT